GGACGGAGAAGTTCGCGTATAAGGGGTGAAATCTGTGCCTCCAAAGATTAATGGATATGCATAGTGTCAGATCCGTACGACGTTCGGCGTGTATCAAGAAATCGATGCACCACGTGATATGTTTTATATAGGTTGTGATTTTGAAAACAGCGATATCGGTACAGGTAAAAGTAAGCTGACGTTTCGTTTATCGTGGGTAATCTTTATCAAGGCGATTTTACAATCGAGTGAGTCAGGAACAGGTTGTCAACTGAACTCTCACGCACTGTGCGTGTGTGTGTGTGTGTGTGTGCGTTTGCATGTAAGTCTGTGTCCGTGTCTGTGTGACCCTCACCGATCCGGATCGGGCGTTGGGCGCATCCGTTTGTGCAATGCTTGTCTGTGGGATCGGGGTTATCTGAGGTCAAATCAGCTTTAGAACGAGTGCTGACATGTGACGTTAGCGCTATCCAGATGCTCGAAACCCCTGCCCAGTCGTTTCGGTTTATACACCCGGGAAGGACACTAATTGCAAAAGCCTCGGCGTATAGGCGCTCGGTGTTTGTTTGAAAACCTCGTTGGGGAATTTTCGTGTTTTCATAGTCGATACAGTATCCCTCGGCAATGGCATAAAGTGCGATTGCCGAATCTCGTTCGAGTTTGTTGCTCTCGCTTTTTCTGATCTTTGGTGTTCAGTGATTCTCATTCTAAGCTGTTTGCACGTTTGTCCAATATATTCTGCTTGGCAATCCCTGAAACTGATCTTGATCTTGATGCAGTTGCTTTGGTCGTGCATCTGAATTGGATCTTTGACTTTGGACAGCTTGTGCGTCAGAAATTTTACTGAGGCTGGTCAATTATTGTTTGTTATGAGTAAAAGCCTTCTAACTAATTTTGCGTGAATGACCAAAGTTAAATAGGAAGGAAAACAAAATTCGATTACAAGAACAAATAGGCCGTCGGAAATGTAGTAGCTATTCTGTACTCTTATGATTTTCTACATCTGATGATGATAACTAACAATTCAGATCATCACAAAAGCAAGCAGTGTGAGTAAATCATGAAGACAAAAAATACAATCAATCAATTAATCAATTACCGCAGGTATTTCGATAGTCGGATAGTCCACCGGTTGAATCATTGCATTCCCACGAAACTGCAATCGTCCACAAGGAGGCAGTGGCATGGAACTCGGATTGCGCACACAGATTCCACTAATACGAAAGCTGGAGTTGGGTTCGATGAAGTCTCTTGTATCTGATGCGAACTGAATCTGTCATAAAGGAAGCGCAAGTTATCCGATGAACAGTAATGATGTTTCTTGTGAATAAACGGTTGCGGCATCATCACAACTCATGAATAAATAAACCATATAAAAATTCTCGTTTGGCAGATTGATGTCCTTGCATAATATTGCAAAATGTTCAGTCACCTCGGTGAGATTCGAACCCACTTCAGGACACCGCCGTACAAAAGCGTCGGCGACGCCCATGCATGGGTTCGAATCCCTCCGAGACTAATGAACTTTTCACAATTTCAACATAAACTGATTATTGTTCAACCGACAATCCAATTTTGACAATCAAACATCAACCCGTTTTTGGGAGCGGATTGCAAACAGCATAACTGTTGACCAATAAAATTGTCTTATTGACAGCGGGAACGGTCCCTGCAAACTCTGTATAATAAACCTGTCATAACCATATATATTGTTTTGTTTTTTAAATTGACGGAGTAGATCAGGTGAAAAGAAAATCAAGAGACTGCAGGAAATACAAAAATATCATTTTTACTGTAAAACACTCAGGGGCTATCTCAACTGTAATCGATCAGTGTCTGCTAAATGCTAGGTGCATGTGACAGCAAGTGTGCGATTTGGCAACATTGTCCAGTCTATCGCTAGCAGGAAGGGAGTGGGAGGACGGATTTGAATGCGTTTGTTATGCGAAACGACAAACAGGTAGGTTCAAAATACCGAAGTATATTGGTCAGACAAAACAAGATGCAATCTTTTCTTTTCATGTTTACTTCCGTTTCTTGAATATACAAAGATACAATTTTCAGGAAGGGGAAAGCGGCCAATCAAAGGGCTGTCATGCAATACACAGATAATGGAGAGTCAGACGGTGTTGGTGCGATTCGAACTCACATCCACGGGGTGAAACTTCGGGGACTTCACCACCGGGCCACCACCAACCCAATTGACTAATCACTTAGAACAAGGGCAACTGTGAACAGATCAAATAATGCTCTCAACATGATCAATAATGAGATTGATTGAGGCTAACTGAATCTGACGGATTAACCATACAATGCATGGGCCAATAACCAAATGGTAAATTATCATTCTGATTTATGTTTTTTCCCGCAAATTTTATTTTTCTTATCCTTTATTTTCATTTACACTTCCCTTTCTTGTGATGAAAACGTGATGATACAATTTTCATGAGGGAGGAAGGGATCAATTAAAGGGCTGCAATACAACATTGTGGCAACAATCCTTACAATCCAAATACTTCATCACAAGGATTACGTAACAGGTTTCTTACCCCTGCCCTACACATTACGGTGTGAACTACGAAAAAACTAAACTGTTTGAGCTACATAAACTTGAGCCAACTACTGGTATTACCCTAACCAAAGAGAACTGTGAATATGGTTAAGCATTGCACCGACTCTTCGACATAGCCACATAAATACATACTCACACCTCGGTATTCCGTGATTCTACCTTTTGCACATTTTATGCTGTTCCCGGGTGTTTGCAAATTGTGCGCCTAACCTCAAGTACACCAAGGCTTGTTCATTTTACTTTTAATTTCTTCAACGTTTTTGTGTGGCACACTTGTGTCTTTGAAAAAATGCTAATAAATCATCTACTCAACCTCATCCATGTCCATTTGACAGACGGAAAGCATGACTGTGATTGTCCTTGCTGGCTGGACGGTTTACCGGACTTTTCGGTTGAACTGTTTGTGGTTAACCCCGTCAAATAGGAACAGGTCGGGTCAAAAACACTGTCCTGTCTGCAGTCGGATTGATCCGAGAACGAGACCCGTTTAATCTGTCACTCCCCAGGGGACACTTTGAGACTTTGATCTATTACAATACTCTACCAGTGCGAAAGGACAATCTGGTTAATTCGAAATAAATCCAATCAAACGAGGAATGTTTATAAATGCGTAATTTAGTGCACATAAACACCGAATTGAGGCTCTGACGATTTTAAGTTCTCTCTGACTGGTAGTTCGTGGATAGCAAACAGATGTTCGGATAGAGAAAATAACGTTCTAAACGGCGTATCTCAAACATTGGGCAGTGGCAGTGATCGAGTGGTAAATTCGTCGAAATAAACATCTGTGGGTCCTGAGTTCGAACCCCATCACCACAGCCCGTCTCCCCATTATCTGTGATTCCCCAGAAAACCTTTGTATGGCTAAGGCTCTCTTCCTGATAGTTGACTGTACATTTTGCTAACCAATAAATAAAATATAAGTAAAAGTATTTATTTATTTTTATTTCTCAAGGTCGCATCGTTTTGGCTTTCAGCTTCACCAACGTGCAGGAAAATCCGGAGTGAGTGAGCAGTGTGTAAGATAGAAGAATGTACTTCTATTTTCACAGTTTTCTTATATCGAAAAAAATTTAAAAGATCCGTTAGACATACAGAACCGATCAATATAGTGTAAAATAAGCTAAAATGCGGTGTATCTATAAGCACACTGGTATCCATCGAGCAGAGAATGACCACAGGGAAAACGGTTACAGTTTAGATATTTTGAATACAACATCGAACACCATAGATGTTAAGGCAAACTCAGGCAAAACGGGATCACCAGAGAGTCATTTATAGGTATATCTATACGAAACACGTTATGCACTTCATTGTCAACGAATTTGGCGGAAACTGATGCTATGCCCATGCCTCCATTGGTCACCCAAGGACAGAAAGTTCAGTGTCCAAATAGAGAAAGTTTCTTGTGTGGTCCTCTTGAATTCAGCCATTCACTGGCTAAATATAATCTCCATAGTTATATGAAATTCGGATTCATATACAAGAACATATGTCGCGGCGGGCACACTCGATTAGCTGCACATAGGTTGTCTATATTTGTTGTTCTTCATTGCGGTATTCAGACTTGACGGGGTAGAATTCGCCAAGCTTGAGATATAAAACTGGTTCTTCGGTTCCTTACAACGAATCCAGTCAGTGCATCCGAAGTAAGACTGCTTGGGAGTTGACTTTCTTTATCTATTTGAGCACAATGAACAGATCCTATTTTTTCCACCACGAAATCAATATATTTAGATGATAAGCTAATTTGGCAATCTTCCCTGTGAATTATTTCACTTTATAGAGTTTCTCCAAGTAGAATAACGCTCGCAAATCCGTTCAGACAGTCACCTGACCGTGTAGCCGATACACGTTGTTCCACGGGGACCATCAAAGAGCGCGCGCATACACAGAGAATGAGGCAACAGGGGTGAGATAGATTACGTTTCATCCGTTGACAAGCATAACTTGCATGAACGTGGAATCGGGAGTGTAGAAATGTTTATTGGAAGCATTGAACAATGTACTTTGTGTTAGGTCTCTTGATGTAACCATTATGCGCGTCAACGCAATGCATTGCATGGAGTCATTCTAAGCTCGATTTTCTTGAAGATATTTGCAATGTGCTAAACCTTATTCTCTTAAATGGACATTTCGAGTCATGTTGCACGAATTTGATCAACACCTGTAATGTGGGACGCTGGTTTTAAAGACGTAAATAACAACAGCTCGACTGTGTGTTAATGTCTTTGTGCTACAAACCTAAAGGTTTTCATCAGGAATCATCACATGGGATTAAATCCCCCTATCGTGCGTTTCACCCTTCTCTTCCTACATCCCATAATGAGAATGCTTCTTATGTTTTACAGAATCAATGATGCTTTTATGTTTTGTAAAATGTTGAAGCAAAAAAAATGAATGAGGAGATGAGCTGACGGATTGAGATGCACCGTTCTATATTGTGTCAATTCAAATGAAACAGCGTAATTGTTGAATTCCACGGGGTAACACTGCGTTCTCAACGATAATGCTAATCCCCAAAGTGAAACAAACAGATGCGTATAGTAGGCAATCTGCAAGCTTTTAGTGAAGTATTTTTTATTCCCCATTTTCTCACATTGCTAGAAAACGCAATGACGTCACACGCCAGTAAAGCATAATTCACGTAATGTCTAGTTAGTCAGCTTACCTCATAATCCACAATTGTCAACTGGAAACGTTCCTCGTAGATTGTTCCAATCGTCGCAAAGTTTGTGATAACCCATTTGATCAAATCTGGTTCTGCTGGCGGCATGTTCTGATTTCCGTCGTCAGTAGCCTAGTAGTGACAATGAAGGTAATGAAAGTGGAATGCAATTCAATTACCGGTAGTTGAACCAAGCTCATTATTTATAGTCACAACACGGGACAATAGAATCACATCACCTGACCCGTGTTGCTCAGGTGTCTCTCATTAAAGGCATACGTGTGAGCGTTCATAGTTTACTCGTCCTACAGACAAATTAGAAGAAGAAAAATAAATCTGACGGTTTTTCAAATAGTATTACTTGAATCCTTTAATGGTCAATATTTCCATCTGTTCGTATTATTTGAATTCATGTGATAAATCTCTACAAGTTATATGAATATGAAAAAATAAGTGCAATTTTCATTTTATACGGAGAATTTTTGAATTAGCCCATTCATTTTGTTCACACTGGCACCAGGCACTGTTGACGGTCTTCCGCGGGTGGGTTTCACTCCTTGGGAGACTGTTAATTCCACACAAGTTCAATGCATTTAACTGAAATAAAAATCATGTGAAGTTAGCAATCTCTCAAGGAGTGAAATCCACATTCCACATCAACAACAATTCCTGGTCCCTGTGAAAAAACACCGAATGGGCTAATCCAAACATTCACCATCTAAATTCACACAAGATGATGACTTGCGTCACGGGGTGTAACTCAGGAGTAAGTGCATAAAGTCCTTACCCAGGGATTTGTGGTTCGAGTTCTGACAGGGAAACAAAAGTAAGCATTGCTGATGAGTCCTAAACGGGACAAAACAACTGCCTGGTGCTCTTTGTCGGTCATCACAAAGATTTGCATTACATTTAAGTGGAGTTACCGTTTATTGATTTTCTTATCAAAAAGAATCAACGAATCCATCCTAACTCGTTACAAAAACGTAGAATGCTACCGTTCTGCTTCTAAATTAATGTTATGAGTTTCTATTTCAAACATTCCTCTAGCCTATTTTTTTTCTTTTCAAATTAAATTGCTCAGACAATGAAGACCTCACTTCTGGTCTTTTAGCGGAAGCCATCAATCAGCGCACAATCCACACGATTGATAGGTAAACCGTACCTTGAGTTGATTATGTTTCTCTACCAACTGTTTTCTCCGTTCTTCACCGATGTGTTTTGGTACCACAATGTACTTCACACTGCCGGATTTGCCCATCTGCCCTGTTTGACCACAAACTCCCGGGAGACCGGCAATACCCGGATGCCCCCAATGTCCCGGTATCATTCGAGGTCGTCCATTCCAAGAGTTGACCACGGCCGTCTCCGAGTGATAAATCCCTCCCGCGTGCGAAGCGCCTGGATCGCCGTATTCTGAGGACCCATACTGACTGTGCTGTTGCGATAGATAGATGTCTGATCCGAGGGAGTTGACACATGGTGCTCGTTGTTGTCGAGAGCTTCCCTCTACGGAATCGTACGACCCAAGAGGTTCACTGGTGCATAGATCACAGCTAAAGAAACGCGAAATGGTATGTGATGTGGAGGTTATCAGGACGGGGCAAGCAGCATTATTCATTCATTGTCCGTACGGCAACAGATTAAAACTTAAAAAAAAAACAGAAAGTTCAAATGGGCAAATACTTAAAATTAACTGAAAAGCTTTAAATATATAGTTTGCATTGCTTCTAGTGAACATATTCGTTTAAACCTATTGTGGATTTTGTTCGACATAGCTCCTCTCCTTTTAGGATAAAAATGGTGCAACGCGTTCGGATGTAATAAAGGAGACTGTAGGGATTGCTAGTTCACTGAAAGGTAAGACATCGTGCTATAATTTGATGCCTAGCATTTGCAAAAGTACAAATTGTGGGTCCCCGATGGGTTGANGGTTGAACCAAACTTTCCAAGATGTCAAATGTCGCGGAATGTTAAGATTTCGTTGTGCCACAATATGAATAAAGCAGTTGGATCTGACGTTATACTAAGGTACACATCAACCCCGAGGTTTGTGTAATGGTAATGGAGGAAGTAGTAGTGAAGTTACGCGCATAATTCGGACACGAACTACGCAATAGGAATCACGGAACACGAATTAGAAAACCGATGGCACTGGACCGCAATGGATCGAACTCGCAACAACCCGCAGGATCGAGAGGCGAGGAAAAAGGCCATAAGACAGGCGAATCACAAAGTCGTTTATTGAAAGAAATAAAAGTGAATATTTATGTACACAAAAAAAAGATCATTGGCTACCTTAGTTTCCACCAATCATATTGCATCACATCTTGCGTCATACCGCTCTTCTCTGCATTGTATCCGATTGGCTGGAACGGTCCACCAATGCCGTGTACCCGGAGGCTGTGCAAGTACTACTGGCGTCAGTGCTCAAGGTCGATTGACTACCAATGTCTGGAAACTGTACCGCGCTGCTCCAGGGCAGGCGTGATCTCGTAGATCCGAATCACAACAGTTTGCCTTCGATATGCCCCCGAAAGCCTCAGTATGTTTGGGTAGGTCTTTTGGGTTGTGGCCGCTCACCCCTTCCTTCCGCCTTAGGTTACGCTCCTATACGACCAAGCGTCTCAACTAGCCTCTACTGAGAAAGCACTACTCACTGTCTTCTCGTAGCTGAAGTGTTTTCCCACATCAAAATGAGAGGACTAAAAGTCGTCATTCAAGGCGATAACCGGGTCGGTGAACTACTGGTGCTTCAAGTAGTGGAGTTGGCTAAAAAGCCTGATTCCAAAACACACACCTTGGGGCCTATGATCCAACAAACCGGACACCGGCCCCAAATGGATTGCGGCTTTTGCACACCGCCCCGCTGCCTTTCAGGTCAGGCTTTGGCTAGTCGAAGGCTCCGGCTGTGAATTACCCAAGAAAATACCTCTGCTTTGACCTGGGCAATCTGGAATTAACCAAACCTACTAACAAATCGTGAACCTTTTTATTTTAATGATAATTATTATACTATCATTATACTATACTATTATTATAATTATTAGACCCTCTGGATTCGCCCATGTGTGAAATATACATAATGCATATACATAATGACCGATTTGCGATTGGCTAAAGAGAGATTTCATTCAAAACAGAATATTTGAATTTAAACGAACAATCCTGACAACGCTAATATTTTAAACCACCAGAGTAGTTTGATTCAAGTCACCTTAATCTCACTCATCAACTTCAATTTTACAATTCCGGTATTTATCCAAAATCTTCATACACTAACCGAAAATTGTTCTTACAGATCATCATGAAAATTTCAATTTTATTTTACCGAATTTGGACGGTTTTAGTTTTGGCTCATGAAACTAATAGTATTCGCACTTACTAGCGTGTTTCCGAGGGGATCAACATTTATCCAAGTACTTACATCATTCAATACATATAGCACTCTTCATCGGTAAACACTGCCCTATGCGCGAAAACCCCGGTTATAAAATACATGATGGGCATTGAAAGTAGGTTCGAGAAGCTA